TAATACGGGAGTTAATGTAATATATAAATACAGATATCTCAGAACTTTTTCATCCTGGCTGTATCCAATTTAGATTTTTAATTACAAAATCCTAAACATAACAGGTATCGTGACATATCGATCACAAAATTTGCGAAAATACTGAATTAAACAACGTGTACCTGCACGGCGAAAAACAAAAAATATTTGAGCATTTTTGTTTACTTTTATTTGTAAAACATTTGGTTCGTTACGTAGTGCGAAGAGAATTCTAAAAAATTTATCTGCATTTTAAATATTTCTTTATCATTACGTTATTTTATTAAAACGATGGTATAAAATAAACACCGCCTCGCAATTTCTCTCGCGTCGACGGCTGCGTCCTTAGGCGAGGGTCTACAAAAATAAGTCGCGGCGCGCCCCGGCAATTACGCGAGGACGACTTCGCCGAGTTTTAATTTGCGCGAGCTCTCGAGACCGTCGCGTATTCGTGTACGCGGTACTTTCCACGAATTCGCGCGCAAATTTATGCGCCCAAACGATGGAAACAGCGCTCAAAAGAGCACCATGCCTGCCGCTCCTGCACCCACCGTAAATCTCGTCAGCTAAGAATTGCGAGTTTCCTTGGGAAAGGCACTTTGAACGGCAGTTCCTCGTCTGGCCATTTCTGGAATTTCTGCAAAAGGCAATCTTATCGCCCAGAAATCCGTAAATGCGAAACCCACGTTTTCGAATCTGCTAAATACATATTTGCACACGTTATTAAGTTAAGCGCAGTTTTCATCGCGTCTTGCTAGCCGAGTGTACGCGCATCGACGTTAAATGAACAGATACCTCTTCGTTCTCGTTAAATATTCTTAAAGCAATTTTTCAGCGAATTAAGCGTATGTATAACTTTCAAAGATCTTATCTCGTCTGCCGTCTTGCACCAAGAAAATCCCTGTACACGTGTATGCAGGATTTTTACCCTCCGGTATTCCAAGCTTCTTTTTTTCCTGCGCGTTGTCGAAAACTTTTCGACGAGAAAATGACGCGTTTTCCGCCGCGGCTAAAGCGCCCGTTCGCGAGCTTGGATGCGAATTTTTCGCCCGGACTCAAGAGTTCGTCGACGAACGGCGTTTAACGATCCGGAAACGTTGTAAGTGTGGAGATTAAAGTGTATTCGTACACGTAGCTGCGAACCTGTGCAGCAGCACTCTCCTTCCTTCTCCCATTCTCCCATTCACACCACCTTCGGAATGACACGTTGGGAACTGAGCCAAGCCGACTCTAGAACGTGCTATAGGAATTCCCCCAAATGGGAATACTTCTTCTGGCTTTTAATTTAAGTTTGAATATCAAGGAAAATAATTATCTGGCCGAATAACACGAAACACGTACGCGGCTTGTTAAATATTTCTCAGAATATATGTACACTTTTATTACACTTACCGAGTATAATCCACAAATTATGCAGAGAAGAATGTACTAAAAATAGATGGGATAAGATAAATGCTGCCATAGCTCGCTCTCTCGTAGTCATAAAGATTATTGTACCACTTGTAATTACAAACGCGACAATACAAAAGAGTTATATTCTTTTAAAAGCAGTAAAAGGAGGAGACGTAAATCGACGATTGTTTTTCTGCAAAAGATGAAATCTCATCTCTCGGCGTTTTTGTTCCTTCTTAACAAAGCTTAAGAAATCTTTTTATCGATATTATCATCGAGACTAACATAAACAACTTTTATTACAAATCTTTATAATTGTGCAGAGCTGCCAGAGAAATAACAGTGCTATAATATGATTTAGATCAAAAGCAATGTAACTTTTTAAATTTGGTCGTGAACATAATGATTTTCAAGATATATCTATCGAACCGTACTTAAAACTGGTTTTAGCGAAGCTCCCTAACGAAATTATTATATAAATATGGGCCGTAGAATAGCGAGATTAGAAAAATTCGCTGTTACAAGCTTACGCTTTGTACGTATATCGAACGTAATCGAAGCGGCATGATTGATTCGCTGATTCGCTGAACAAATTCATGTGTATTCATTCGTAAAATACGCCCGTGAGCCCGTACAGGCGGATGTAGCTTTATCTGGGCCCCATCATTCACGTTAATTCCACTTAAGCACCGATGCACCTGGCTTGCGAGCTCAACGCGACGAGCGCACGATACACTCGGCAAAAATGAAGAGACGAATGCCATGCAAATCGAGCATTCCAAGTGCGCACAAGGGCACCTTATGCAGCGGCACACAGTGGAACCAAGTGGCCGAACGGCGGGCTGTGTGGCAGCTCGGGCGAATGAACGATGGCAGTGTGCGTATTGTAGAAAGCTGGAACAAACGGCTCACTAAATTCGCATGATATTTTCTTCGTTCCGCGGGCGAGGGCGGTTCGCTCGTTGGCCGTTCCGTTGGCGCCGATGTCGAATGTTCGCATTGAAGTGAGTGAATAATCGACCAAAAACAGTTGAAAGAGGATTTTATCTGAGAAGGAGGGCAAAAAATCTGCCGTCTGCACGACCCGAAACACCGCTACGCTCTTCCTCCTCGGAATGATAATTATAAAAAGAAAAAAAGAACGGACTGAGACAGGCGGGAGCGTGTTAATAAATGCGCAACACTTCTTGCTTCAGGCAGAAGTGCATATCAATTCAGAAATGTGGACATAATCAAGTCTCCGTAATTACAAGGAAATGATTAACTCTTTCTGCTTGAAACATGCCTGCGAGGCATGAAGGGCCCCGACGTTATCCCGCGAGTAAAATCGCGCGAAAGGCAGATCGATAGCGCAATTAACTCATGCGAGTGCACGGGCGCACGGTTTATTTCCCATATAATTTTTATCTCTAATAGATTACGCCCGGCGTACGTAATGCGAGAGTGAACTTTTCGAAACGCCGCTGCGAGGCGACGCGAGGGGAAGCTATCGCTGCGGGGAACGTATCTCGCGACGGCGTGGCATGAATGCCGCATTAGAGCGCGCGTGTATTTACGAGATTATCCACGGGCCTGGTGATTAATTGTACGTCACGATTGATCTAATCATCGGTTGAGAAACGAATGCCGTGTCTCGGACCACAATCGAGCTGTGCGAGCCGGCGCGGGTTAAAGGTTGACTGCGCTCTGTGACCTTAATTACTACGTCGACTAATCGATCGCGCGCATTGTGATCGCGCTATGCTTGACACGGGTACCAGCATACGCGATCACTTCGCCGCCTGAATAGCATCTTAATTACCGGTTAGATAATCCGATTCAGCCACTTATGTACGGTATCGATAGTCTGCGGATCTCATGTCAGAGTCGAGTATCGAGGCGGAAAGGATTAATCGAAAATCACCCAACGGCGGCTCCGGAAGTGACTCGAAGGGCGATGGCGTTTAAACAATTCTCGTTAAGCTTATTCTACAATGAACGCAGAACGCAAGACGCTAAGCCGCAACGCAAGAAATCGACCAATGGCAGTCGATCGTTCTTCTCATATTTGACTGTGATTGGTCGATTTCTTGCGTTTTGCGTCCATTGTAGAATAAACTTTAGTGAGGTCGAGGCGTCTTGTCTCAGGAGCCGTTAAGGGGTCATTCCACTTTAACGGCCCAAAAACTATACTTACCTTTAACAATTTTTTTCACAATGAAATAAATCTTTTTGGCATTTATTAGGGCACTAATAACTAATAACTGAAATAACACAAAAAAATGTTTGTTATGATTCAAACCATTTTTTAATTAAGCGTTTCTACGCCGTTCGAATGGCGTGACAAAAAATATGCACTTGGAAAGGACTTTTTAAAACTTTTTCAAACTGGCACCATTTTGTTATTTTTAAATAAAAATTCTTAATTGAGGTTCGGGACATAGCGACACTCGTATAGATTAAGAATCTTTTTCATTTTTTGTAATCAGGTAAGCCTGAATGATGAAAGTCATCAACGCGGCGGACTTGCATATTTTTTGACACGCCATTCGAACGGTGTAGAAAACGCTTAATTAAAAAATTGTTCAAATTATTTTTTTGTGTTATTTAAGAGTACCCTAATAAATCCCAAAAAGATTGATTTCATTGTGTGGTGAATTTACTGTGAAAAAAATGGTTAAAGAGAAGCACAGTTTTTGGGCCGTTAAAGTGGAATGAGCCCTTAATTTGAGATGAGATCTATTCGAAGCGATAGATTCGCCGTCGATTACGAGAGTGTCGTTGGCTCGGCGGCCGAAAATGCACGATAAATTGCCGAATTCACGATCATAGCGCGATATAAGACACCGGCTCGCCGCGTTTATCGTTACTCGGGATATTTTCGTCGTGAAATAACGAGTCGCAGGAAGGGTTCTCGGCAGATAAGCATCGGCGGGCGGTCGGCGGTAGTCGAGAAATCCCGTAACCTCCCTTGCCCTCCCGCCCCCGTTAATTAGCCAAAAAGTGAGTTCTCTCGTACGGTCCCCTCGCCTTTCTTTTCCACGCACTGCGACGGCACCGCCGTGAATAAAGCATGGTCCCGCGTTCCTCCTCCCCGCCGACTATCCGGTACGTACGAGCCCTCGCCCCCTCGCGCATACAAGACGAGAACCAAGAGCCAAAGAGCCCCACGGCGCTCTCCGTACTTCTTTCTCCGGCTCGCAGCATCCTCGGTGGACCTCGCTCCTTCCGTCTTCCTCTCTCGCGCCGAACGGCCGATCCTAATCTCGATAATGACGCGTAATGGCTGCTGGCGTGAATGTAGCTCTTTGTCCGTGGCTCCTGTACCGGTCGTATATCTGTCCGGTACGGGAATCGCGCCATTTCACCCCGGCGAAAAGCACAGGGAGGCCGAAACGGCCGTTTCCAAGACTCTTTTTCTACGCTCACGTCGCGTCTCCCTGTCGGGCCCCCGCGCTCCCCCTTCACCCCCTTCCAACCCTCTCCCGTTCCGATCTCTACGTTTGGCAAGACGCTTTCTCGAGAATCTCGCTTAATCACTCTGTTCTGCGTAATGCCAGGGCCACGAGTGTGTGTGTGTGTGTAATTTTTTTGCAACTTTATTTTTGCAGGAGCGGTTATGAGAGTTCGATGACCACGGGCTCGCGGACCATCGACGCTACCATGGACTACCTGCAGACGTGCCTCATCTTTTACCTGCTGATCCTCTGCTTCTGCGGCGGACGTTCCATAGACATATGTGAGTAGATACGTTAATCTGACCCAAATCGATACTATTCATAATTGTTAGCTAGCTAATAAATAAAATTCATAAGGCTCTGACGTGAAATCACAAATACGAAATAATAAAGGATATAAGAGCTAAGACAGGACGTTAGTTTCCTTTAATAATCAGCGTTTCAACTAGCAAGCAATGCAAAAGTCTAATTAATAGATTCGCGGTAAAATAGAAACGCAGCATTGGCGATAGTGTGATACTTATTGCTCGACAACAGAGAGGATCGAGATTCTCCTTTTGGGCAAATTGAAGAAAACGTGGCGAGATCATGATTGAAATACGTGTTTACACCCAAGGCTATAATTTTACCGAGGCGGGTGCCTCTCTCACCCGCAGTTCTACTCGATAAAAACAGAAAGGCATCCCGATGCCCTCCCTCGTACCGCATTGCCCTTTGCCTTACATTAAACCTCGGGCTCGGTTTCTACCCGGCTTGGTTTCCATCCCATTGACTTCGGCGGCCCGAGCCACCCTCGTGTCAGGTAAACAGGGCGAGAAACTTGCAAAGTATCCGCCAAGAGTTCCGAAGTCAGCTCCGGGAAAGGCTTTTAGGTACTCGTTCGTGAAATCGAGCTCGAAACTTACGTATACGGGACGTATTTCGCACCCGAAGAATTTCTCGAGCAGGATCGAAAGATGGATCATGATGGTCTCTCGATTCGGTTGCGCTGCACAACGCGTACCATCCTTTTCCCCGGATGAGTGAGTAAATTCGAGCTATGCCGAGCGCAAAGTTTTCAAAATGTGCATCTCTCGTTATAAGCGCGAAGCATAATTGTTCTGACGTCGCGACTTGCGAAAGTAGAATTGGAAGTAGATCTATAAAAAGTCTATTGCGTAACGAATGACAAACGCAAAAGTTAGAAATAACGCACTTGACGAGTTCTTGATAACTTTGCCAGTAATAGCGCTATAAAGTCTGCAAGTGTACGATAATCGGCTTATACTTTAGCGCTAAATATATCCAGACAATGGCTGTTACGGAAACATACTAAATCAGGAAAGTCGAAGTTAACTCTTCTAACTCTTGGAACCTATGCAGCGTACTATTTGACCTCAAAACCGATACTTGGGCTACCTTTGATCCTGCTTACACTTATACTTGAGCGTGCCGGTGTAATCCCGGAAAACAACTATATAGCGCAAACTTCGCTAATTAAATTCTATCTGGTTATCAAAGCAGCTCAGCATAATACTTGGAGCTAACAAACAGAACAATGGCATTAAAGCAACATTTTGTGCGAGGGAAAAAGTAGGTCCTACAGTCAGACGTGACAATTTAAGTGACGTAGCTAAGCTGACAATCCATCAGTTAATCGTTAACCGATGAAAGTATCAGACTCGTCGCAAGCTCCTCTTTATTCGCGCGTGAAAGAAGCAGGCCACGGCGCATTTGAAATTTACTCGGCCGATACGTGCCATGGAATCCAATAGAATCGAATACCGGTCACCGAAGAATCCATAGAGGCGTTCGGTCGTAGGTGGGTCTAGAAATGTGCCCTGTAATCAGAGACTTGCCATATGAGTTCGTCAAATTCCTGCGAGTGAGAGAGAAACATAGGCCATCTAAAGGTCGTTCTACATTAAGTTGCAAGCAATCGCTGGCACGTCCATATTGTCGCAAGTCGCAAGAAATTTGCGATTTCAACTTGTACATTGCAGTCGTAAAGTCACAGCCAATCAAAGAAGAGAATGTTGCGACATCCACGAAGGCTGATCACGATTTATCCACATCTTCATATGGAACACTTACGTCCAAAGCAATCATCATCATCCCAGTCTATACGATTCATTTTATTAATATATAAAATTTTCTAACCGATCAAGAAACACGCGAAACTAACGAGCTATCGACCAAGCCAAACAGACACCATGACAGTGAAGCTCGATGTTCATTGGCCGTCGCAAATCGCAGAGACACAAATTTTGGATTTGGTCAAACCTTGCGACTGGCGTTTACGACTGCATTACGATCGGAAGTAGCGCTGCTTGCGTTCATGCGATTGGTTACTTGCGACTAATGTAGAACGACCTTTACTCCTCTACGATCGTAACGATCTATGTTTCTCTCTCACTCGCAGGAATTTGACGAACTCTTATGGCCAGTCTCTGATTACAGGGTCTCTAGGTGGGTCGGTGCGCTGGTCCTCTGCACAAGAGGAGCATCGAGCGGGCAGCACCGAAATATAAATAGTCCCGTACGAAAGGAGGAGACGATTGCGGGGCCCCCCGCAGCGACTGAACTTGTACATTGAACCACGCCGGTAAATTCGCGGTTGTGTTAAGCGAGCCGGTCAGCTGTGGCCGATCGAGGAGAGCTGAAAGGGGTCCCCCGAGCAGTTGAAGCGCGCATAAATTGCAATGTTAATGTTGCCGGCGATACATAAACATGTTGCACGTCGGTCGAATTGCGGTGCCTGCGCGTACTGCACACCCTCTAGGTGCTCGCGTGCGTGCGTGCGTGCGTGCGTGCGAGGGTGTGTTCGATTCTGAGGGCGGTCGGTAAACGGAGCGCGCGTATAGACGCGTGCCTAGACGAGAGTGTAGCCGCGCCGTTTGCGTGTATATTATATTACGCGCGCCCGCGCGTTTCGTGTCGGTGTCGCGTAATTGCTGGGTAGACGCGAGAGTGTACGTGCACCGGGCGGACGAGTGGAGAGCCCGGAGTGATAGGATAGGCAATTGTACAGATGCGTCATCCGGCCGGGATGTATCTGACGTAGCGAGATTTAACGCGAGCGACACATGTGGCGAACGATCGCCTTTTTTGCATTCCGCGCGGGATTCATTGTTAACAGCGACTAGGATGACGTAGCCGCTGGTGAAACAGGGTGTATAGATGTGCTGATAGATATGACTCAGCCTCCAAATAAATTACGTATGTACACGCGAGCGCGTTACCTTTAATAATTGTAAATTAATACGTGTAATAAATGAGCACGCGTACAAGACACGCTCGTGTGTTTGTCGCATCGAGAGGGCACATCGAGCACGGGTGGTAGGGATGTGTTCAGGGAGGTAAACCGTCACGCAACGGAGCCCTCCCGCGTTATGACATTGTCATCCCTCTGTTACCCTCTCGGTCCTCAGCCCTCCTTTCCAATTATCTACGGATCCATTAGGCCCTAGCGTGATGATGACGAAATTATTGCTGGAGTCTTGAGCGTATTAACATAACAATGCGGCAATTAACGCGTTATTGCCCTTCGTCCACGCTCTGTCGCCAACGCATACGTCGACGCGAAGCGTAGGATGTCGTTAATTAGAAAAAGTTATTTTCACACAAAAATAAAACAAAAGGCTACGTTTCAAACTTCTATAATAATAAAACACATTGAAAAGAATGCTGCATGTAAATTGGGTAAATTTAATCACACGTTATTATATATATTTTTTTTTAATTAGGGAACGTAGCATACACGAAGAGAATTTTCTATTAGAATTTATCCTGAAAATCATGTGATTGTAGGACATGGCCTTTTGAACAATTTTATGAGTTTTTCGAAATTTTACCACACATTTTACTAGTAAAATGTATACTAGGTATAATTGCTAGCGAAATGTATGGTAAAATTTGAAAAAACTCGAATAAAATTCCTTCAAATGCCACGTTGTCTCACGACTACATAATTTTCGGGGTAAATTTCGAGAGAAAATTCTCCCCGTGTAGAAAATTTCAAGTCGAGCCCGATAACGATCCCTCATTCGCGAAGAACACTTTAATTGAGACGACGGTGCACCCTATCGTGCGCCGATCAACGGATTATTTGTACAGTCACCTATCCAAGCGCGCAAATAATTTCCCATGGTCGTATTCCCTCCGTAGATACAGTTATCAAAACATACCTCGGCTATCATTACAACTTGTCACTCCTTTGTACGCGCCGGGCGCCGTTAATACTGGCTGACAGCTTCTGCGGGTCTTGTTTGAAAGACGCGATTATTCGTACGACAAAGGCACCGCCGACACTTTCTGCACGTGTACGTCGTATGTCTCTCGGATATAAAATCCCCGCGACGTAAACATTCCCAAGCTGGTATTCCGAACATCTGTTCCTTACCCTCGCGCCGTCTCCGATCTCCACGTTCGGCTTGATCACGCGCCAGAACCAACGGTCCACGCACGCCCGCGTACACGAACTTAGGAACTCTTCGCCCCTAACGATTCCGGATAAATCGCCTCGAGTGGAATCGACTTAACCCCGCGTCTCGGCGACGGCGCAGCCTTTGGATACGTTCGACGAACGAGGATGAATCGGGAGAATCAAGTGGGATTGACACGTTGAAAGGGCGTCTCAGCTCTGGAGACGCCCGAGCGAGATAATCCCTGGCTCCCCGCGCTTCCTCGATCGCGGATCGCTATTTTTCGGCGATATATCCCCTGGGCCATCGAGAATCGCGTCTCGAAATGTACGCGAGTGCGAGAACGATCGTTCTTCGCCGCGTCGCGGCAAACCCTTTCGCGTCTCATCACGATCGACCTGAGCGACGACGGCGTCGCGGAACGTATCGTGCAACGAGGACGAATCCGGGGTGGATCCGAGGGATCTCGCGCTTGACGCGCTGAAAGGACGTCAACTGTCAGACGTCGACTGGCGACGTCGAGTGTAATAATCCCCGACTTTCGGCTTCGAAGGGCGTACGTCAATCCGCCTCGCGGATCTGTATTTTCATAAGGCCGACCCACGAAAGCAAACACCGCGCGCCCGACTGCACGAGTGCGAAGGGTCCGTGCCCTGAAACTGTCCGCGCACTGACATCAGCTGGAACGAAGGAATTAGACGATGATCGGGGAGATCCTTCATTCGAGAAAGGATTTACATCCTTAACTGACACGCTTTCTTGCTATTTACGTAAGAGAAGTTGAAGAGTTCTCAGGAAAATTATACGTAGAACAGTTTTATAATTGATTACGTAATTATCGCATCTTTATTAGTTTTGAAAATAAGACAGTTCAATTGCAATTGTGAATAATGTCTGGTTCAATGTTTCGCGACTTTATTTGTTCGTCGGTTTCTAAAGAAATAGAGTGCTATTAGAGTAGATGTTTTTACAAAGCAATGTCAATATACGCTGTCTGCCTCTCTTCGCATTAACGTCAGACACACCGAAGAATAAAACTGCTTAGTTTTGATAAATCCAGGCCACGAAGGCACGAACCCCGTACAAAGGGGTTGCATTTTCGACCCTCGAGGTCTAAGTAACGCACGCAACACGAGACGGTGATTTCCAGTCCACGCCTAGGGGGGTTTGAAGGGTGGAACGGTCGCGGCGCGGTGGAGAAGGACGCAGCCACGGCGGATGAAACGGAAAGAGCGGGAAAGAAGTAGGACCTTGGAGAAGTAGGAGGGACGAAAGGGCCGGTGTAAAAGTAGTACTTCCGTTCTGCCAGCCGTCGCGGCGCCAGAAGGACGGGCATGCGCGTTTTCGTCGACGCGCGTTACCTTCCACCTAGAACGAATGTTTGTTTTCTCTGAAAGAGGCGAAAATGGCTCCCCGAGTCTGACAATGCCCGGGGAAACCGCGCCTCGGCTTTCACGGCTCCGCGAAAGGGTGCAGCGCATTACATCGAGGGGGCAGGCGCGAGCTTCTTTCGGGGTCGACGCTCTTACAAACATTCATTCTAATTTCGCCGATGCTCCGGAAAACGGGCGCGGCATTACAGTCAAAAGGGGGAAGACCTTGCGGCAGGTGTCCACCTGCTAATTCCGTTGAGCAAACATAACGAACCGAGTCCCGTCTCGGTGAGCCGTGCGGAGAAGCTGATTATCATTAACACACAAACGACTAGACAGTTTCCAAGTTACATCTTGCGTAGAATTTAATCTGGATTAAATCTCGGTATTGCGGTCACGTTGGTAGAGATATGCCCCCCGCCGCGATACAACGACGTAACAAGTGCGTCTTGAGGGACTCGCGTTTGAAATTCCTATTTTCTTAAGGACTGGCAATTATCATTTGCTTTGCACCAAAAATATTTAATGTCTTAATATTTGAAGGCGCGCGACGTAATAAAAATGTTCTCTGACTCGTCATAATATTTTAAGGATATGTATGACTGCGAGAGACAGCTCGTACGTTATAATTAGTCGAGACGTTTTGACGTAAAAAAAACACACTCACACACACAAAGATCGAGTTAACCCAAGGATTAGGTGCGAGTCATGATTTATGCGCTAATATCGTGCTGCAATGAGATGGGGAAGTTTAATATGTTTTTCGTGAAAGTCCCGGTGCGTAATTAATTTACATTCGCGCCCGAGGAGAGAAGTGCGAGTAAGCGTACCGAAAGCCGACCACGACTCTGGTGCGCCGTCATTAATAATAATCCCGGAATTAACAAAGGAAGGGTGATGCGAATTATTAAATTCACCGAGATAGAAAAGCTCGTTGTTGGTGTCTACCCATACCACACTTCCTCTATTTTTCTTCCCTAATTTGCCGAGAGATTCGTTAGTCTTCTGTGCAATTTGCTTTGCCATTATTATAAAAGCCGCGCTAATTACTCGCCGTATTCGCGTCTACCAAAGGCGCGATATCTTTGACTTGATCCGGGACGAGGGAACGAAATTATGGGATGTGACGCGTGTAAATCCACAATGAGCGTCCGCCCGCGCATTACAGCAAGTTCCGTGCATTTTTGCGAACAAACAACTGCGATTTCCACATAGCCGGTTCCGTAGTCAAACTGTACACCGAGTATATATTAAATTATTAAACTCAGCCTCGCCTGGCGGATAAAGACGTGACTTACACCGTGTTAAAGGTTAATTCAGAACCGTTCTCAGTTGCCTGAAGAAGGAGTGGTTCGCTACTCGAGTGCGACGTGAATGCTTCGCGGGAGAGGACAAACGACGGTGGAGAAGGAGATCCGTTCTTGTAAAGGAGGAGATTTACGATATTGCGCAATTCGTAGATCTCTAACAAATCGCGCAGCCTTCATCGCCGCCTCAACTTGTAACCTAAGCGTGGAAGTCTGATTCAGCGCCAGGACATTTCAATTACCATTTCGGTATTTCAAGATTCGCGGAAAATCGTTTATCAACTCGACGTGCACGCGGACGTATAAGTATTGCGTACTGCGCGTGCGAAATGGAGGCGGAGAGAAACGGTACTCTCCGACTATCAAGTAACAACAAATACAAAAGCAAAACGGATGCTGGATACACGGCGGAAGAATTTCTCTCGGAATTTATTACGATTTTTCTATTACAATCTCTCTCTTACGTCGTCTCGAACGTATTGCGTTCTCCTCGAGGCGCGGCTTGTTCGTCGACCGTTTCGTGGTTGTCTCGGGTTTCGCGGAGGAGCCGTCTCAGGGAAAGAAGCGGTTATCAGTTTGACAGTGACGCGGTTGAAGGAGGAGAACGAGCCGGGCGAGAAGACGAGAGACCCCGACGTTGCGATGGAGAGGAGAGGGGCTTGCGAAGGCATTCAATTTCCCTCTTCTCGCGGCACGGAGGGCGGCACACACCCTTCCGTTCGGAGCTGTCACTCCCCGAGAATTATGGTCGCCGAATGAGTGGCTGGGGCGGGCCAAACGTCGCATAACTTACTTCTTCTTCTTCTTCTTCTCCCGTTCCTGCACTCTTTTCCAGGATGTCTATAAATACGAGAATCGAACTCGCCTGCCTACCGGGAGCCTAACTACTCGGAGGCGACTTCGGTGCCTCTCGTTGCTGAATGCTGCTCCACCGCGCGCGTACCGGAAGGAGCGCGACGCGAAGGCGATCGATCTCCGGCAGTCTTCGCGTCGCGCACCGGATAGCACTGATTACGAAACTTAATTTGTCTGAATGCGCTTTTTGTCACTTCAATAAAACACGAGACAGTTCCCGGGTATTTTTAGCGGAGATATGGGCCTGGCGGTGATTACCAGAAATTCCTCCGCGTAATTGTTTCCTCGTCTCCCGGCGACGGTGAGAGTAGGAATATTATTCTCTGTAGACCTTAATATTTTCAATTGCTGCTGCAAAAGATGTGATTTTTTGTTCGCGAGAGAATACTAAGTGAAATATATAAGTTAATATCCTAAAAGTGTCCCTTAATTTTAATACCGGCGGTGAAACTTTTATCTAAAAATTCCATAATTAATATTGTACATTCGGTAATCACAAGTGTATATTGAGAAATTGATATCATGTTCACCAAACTTGTAGATTCGCTCAAAGTTAAATATCGAAAAATCCTTCATAAACCTGCGCGTTCGCTATTAATCGGATAGTTAAAGATTTATTCAAAGTGAATGAATACTTTTCTAAACGAATGGATAATCTTCATCTCCTGTTTTCCATCTCATTCAGACCCGAAATCTTCGGCGACGTTTGCAAGGAGCGGGAGATGTTTACAACCCTCTTATTTACGCCAGACATCTTTTCGGTGCCAGACATCCGCGACGATGAAGAAAGCGGTCGGAAGAAAAGTTTGTAGATTTAAGGTCGTTGGACGAATAAACGAGCTCGATAATCGTTGACTGTTCCGACGATGGCTCAGGAAACAGCTGTCGTTAGGGTCATTCGAAGTTGAATTTTCTATGCGGATTTATCGAGTTTACCGAAGCGCCGCTCCGTCTTGCCGCGATTTCTCGCTAAAGAGCTGTATATCATTCGCTCGTTTCCCGGGAATCTTGGCGCGATCTTATGCCACGCCAACAAGATCTGCTTTGACCTCTTCTCAAGGTACCACAACGGCCGTTCTCGTTCGCGAGTGCTGCTTTGATCATCGGCAGGCCCGCGCGGATATATAATTTCAAGTCATCCCCAGCACTTATCTTTCTTCGATTTCAAATGGAAATCCGTTCTCGGTATCGTGTTAAGCGCCGTAATTATCGCGGAACGCGCGATCCACGGCGAGCGATAAAGACACGGCGCTCCGGAGCGGTGCCCGTGATGCCTTTTTCATCGTCTTTTTTTTTCTTTTTGACAGGCGGTTCGCGCGCGTTGACCTCGAAAAAAGTAGCCCCACGATGTTCAAGCGCATAATGAAAACCCGATAAACTTAAGTTCTCGCCGAAAATAACGGCGCAAACAGCGCAACACGACTCTCGAGAGAACCAGGCCTGTTTGAACCACCTTTTAACAACGATGAAAAATCCAAGCTGAAAAGGGCGTATTGTATGCGAGACAATGTATCGATTTCTTTACGTGACCTTTGGTATAAAACTGCTGCACGATATTTTTTTATTAAATCCCACTCTTTAATGTCGAATAGACTCTTTATTATGACGGTGTTTTTAACTTGGTATTTAATAATATACTTATTATAACGAAATAATGTGAATTGCCAGTAATTAATTAACGGTAAAAAGAATTGTTAGACGACATTAGGCTGTCAGATGGTTTATTTGTTTCGACCATGCGGGTTGTGGCCCTTTTCAAGGAATTTAATAATCTACAAGTTTTATAGTTTCATGTAATTACTGATAAAACTAGCGTTTATGTGAAACTTTTCTCTTTCAACGACCGAAAGGTAACAGGAGATGAAATAGTTCACAAATATAATTATAATTTTAATGAAATGTTAAATAATTCCAGTTGTACCAGTTATGAGCTGAATAACGCATTATGTCCTAATTACCGAATAATACAGACTTAACGAGTACAAATGCAGATATTAACGTTTCAATCGCTGGCACGTTTACCTTACGTGCATCTAAAATGGACTCAACATCCGAGGTTTATATCGTTCGTTTGTTCTCACCCGACACGAACATATAATTGAAGCAATTTCCTTTATTTGCAGCACAATGCATCGCACCCCTGGGGATGGAATCGGGCGCGATTCCCGACGTGGACATCACCGCGAGCTCCAGCTTCGATAGCGGAAACGTCGGGCCGCATCGCGCACGGTGAGTGAATTACTGATTCGTTTACGCAGCGCATCACGCACAAATCCGACGCAATACAAATCCGGAAATTTGATCGTATTAGCTCCGCTACGGACCGTGAAAAACAGCAGCGGCGTGCGCTCGCGACGCGAGATCGACGGCGCAATGCGGCGATATTCGAATCAGCTTGACCATTCAGCGCGGCTCCATAAAAGTCCTACTCGGGAAGTTGTCGATCTGTCCGCTCGCAACTGGCTCTCGATTATATGGTAGGCTACTTTAGGAACATCCAGCGGCGCGCGATCGCGGCGGAAACGACAGGAGGCAGAAGAAGCGGAGTCGTCATCTTCGCGGCGCGCAATAGATCATCTACAAGTTGAGCAATTCGACGGGCGACACGTCCGTCATCCTGTCTGTCCGCGAGATAGTCGACGAGATCGACCGGTCGCACCGTATATTAATCACGCCCTACTAAACCGCAACGTCTAATTCGGCCCTTAGCCCGCAATGAGGATTAATGACGCGCAGCGTCCCGCATGCGGAGCCATTTGTATCGGCCGTTCCGAAGCTCTTAGACGTCGTTAACGTGCCCCGTCGCATACGCCTTTGATTATGCGTGTCAGCTAATTACCATTCCGGCGGGACAAACGCGCGACGAGGTGGACGGACGGAGAGTTGCACGGCGAGGGACGAATGTCCAAACACGAGGAATCATCGGGACCACCTACCGCGCTAATAAACTCGCACTCGCAAGACATTAGTCGCTCCACCAGTGCCCTTTCGCCCGTAATTGAAATTCTGCTGTATTAACCGAGTCGTGCGTGAATTTTCAATATTCCGCGGGATGTAATCGACTCTCGTCGCTATTAATCAACCGCCGAAGCGTGAATATAAAACAAATTAATGCATGAAATTAATCGCGGCGTATCGGGACGCGGGCGATCAGCGGATAGATAAAATAGAGATTCGCGCCAAGTCAATTTCGCGATCGACAACGTCACGCGGGAGTTTCCCTCGGTGCGACGACGCCAGTGTCGCTTCGAATCGCATTGTCGACTGGAACTTCTTTGACGGCATTTCCGAGGCTTCGCGGTATTACGGGCTTCACGGTGAATACCCTACTTACCTATCCGCTTACCATAAAATACTCCTATCTGGTATCTAGTCGTCGGAGCGGCAGCTTAACTTGAAAAAAATCACAAACTCCTACAATTCGAGATTTCTTCACAGTACGGGGAGGGCTACTCAATGCTAAGTATAGCATTTTTTTCAACAATGAGAAATCGTTTGTCGATTTAATACGTGAGTTTACTGACGACAATGATTCCATCTAATTGAAACTGTGCTGTGTCCGAAAAGAAATCGCCGCGCAGGACAAGGCGGAAAACGGTATATGAATTGGCATTTTAGATTATTATTGGGCTACCAACGTCTTGCTTGGACCTAAAGGCGCTCTTGTTTGTTCGATCCTACGATTCTCCAATTCGCAGGTACACCACCCGGAGGGAATCTTCTTTTAAAATTTCTCCTCGAAATTATGTGATCGCGGGACAACATGGCAGTTGAAGGAATTTTATGAGAAATTTGTGAAATTTTACCATACATTTTATTAGTTAAATTTCAAAAAACTCTGATAAAATCTTCAACTGCCATGTTGTCCCACGATCATATGATTTTCAGGATAAATTTGAAGAGAAAATTCTCTCCGTGCAACACCTGCCGAAAAGTATCCTACGTACCACTCATACTTGCATGTTAATCGTTTCAGTTATTTCACGTGTTGTAACAGAGTCGATAGAGACACGCACAAATGGAAAAATATTCTTTTCGCAAGGAGATCCTGTCGATCGTCCGACAACACAGCGACGTCGCTCGAGAGGATCTTATTCACCGTAGCAACGGATCATTTCCCTTCGGGTCCCTAAGTCCGACCCCGGAGCGACGCGCATCTCTCCAATTCGACAAACCATTTCTCTCGATAATCGGTCCCTCCGTCTAAGGACCCGCTCCGATTCCGCCGACGTGGCAGCTCGCTGCTCAAGTCGGCGTAATCGTCCGTTCCGAGATTTATCGCGGACCGGGAGTGCCGTGCGCGTGGAATGTCTTTGATGCCCCGGACTGTATCAAAGTGGCAGCCAGGCAGTTCGAGGTCTCTTAATGGGCTATGAGTTATGATCTTTGGCGGTATGGCTGGATATTACTCCTTTCTCTTTCTCGTTCTTATTCCCTCCCGCGTCCGAGCCGTTTCCACATCCGCGGCCTGTCTCGAGCTTCCTTTTGCCCGCTCCGTGCGTTCCGCCTCTTTCTCGCTCCTCCTCTCTCTCCCTCTGCCTCCCTCTCTCCCTCCCTGTCCTCTCGCGCCGTATTCTCCTAGCCGCGTTGCAAAACCACGCCGGGAAGCACCCTTAGACAGACACACGGCAAATCCTAGTCGGTCGCTTTTACTGTCTTCCACGTCAAAGCGACACTTAAAGTTCTGACACTTCAGAGAGGACGGTAGCTCACCTCTTTATTGCGCGAGAACATTTTTGCTCGTCGCGCGTACACGAGTTCAGCCAGCGGATTCATTTGGCACCGCCACCCGCTTCTTCGGGGGTCTCTCTCGTCTCTTCTTTTTTTTTCCTTTCCCTTCCTGAAATTTTTCTACGCCAAACACTCGTCCTGTTTCGCACAAGGAGGCACCACCCTCGCGTCGCAAACGGGGGATCCCACCGGGGAATTCCCGAAGAGATGCTTTCATAAACTTGTCGTAGTTAATAAACGCCCTCGCGACAAAATTCACGTCGCGATGCTCGGCAGATGCGCTTTATTAATAAATGCCTATAAGGTGAATACCGCCCCGTGGATTATCATATCGTGGATAACAGCGTGGTAATTTACGACGACAGAAAGAATTCGAAACAGATTCGCTCTCGTCGGCTTAGTTTACGAGCCGTGGAATCGTCCGCGACAGCGTGCGCATTTCACGGCCATGTCGCAGACGACGGGAGAGCTTTTTAATGCCAGGGACGAGCCCGCGAAAGGTATATGCGAATACAATTATTAGCCGGCTCGAAGTGGCTTCGTCGCCGTCCCCGCGACGGTGTCAGCTCATCTTTAATTCATGTCATCCGGGACTTGGGTCGATCGATAAATTATAATTTCATCCCGTATCGCGTTGGCGAGCTGACGGTTATCCGTCAGACGCGCGGCCGATCACGTATTTATACGATTTCCTCTGAGCGACGATGCCCGTGTTTCCGCTCGCTCACCGGCACTCATCCGCCGCGATAACAGCGTTATTCTTATCAACTAACCGTGGACGCGAATTTCTTCGCACGCGGCAAATCCCGGCGAACGTTCAAAGAGGCTTCGATATACGCGGGTCACATTCTCCGTGCGTTCCGCATTCAGGAGGGTTTACGCAATTCTGAAATGCCATTTCCTTAGAACGTCCTTGTATGAAGCTACAGACGAAGAATATGGCGAATCGAAATATGATAAACCTCTCTCTACATTTACATGCTGATAAGAATGTACAAATCCGTAAAAGCGTCACGCGAGGGAGACGGGAAGGTTTGAATCGCGCGCGTGCGCGCTGGCGACTATTTTCCCTTTCACGGGGGATTCCCCGGAGGAGCTGTCTTCCCCCTCGGCGATCGTAGCGCGATAAGAAAGCGGGAAAGAGAAAATAAAGGTCCGTAATCCCAGAGCAAATATTTATTCTTCCAGGCTGAAGCAGGAGAGCCACGGAGGTGCCTGGTGTCCGAAGCAGCAGATCACGGCGGAGCCGCGCGAGTGGCTGGAAATCGATCTTCACACAGTGCACACGATCACGGCGACCGGCACTCAGGGCCGCTTCGGCAACGGCCAGGGCGTCGAGTATTCGGAGGCGTACATGCTGGAATACTGGAGGCCGAAATTGGGCAAGTGGGTCCGCTACAGGAACTTCCGTGGCGAAGAGGCGAGTACTCTGTTATTCCGATCCATATGCGGGTAAGGGCCAGTTTCACAAACATCAGTTAACTGTTGACTAGAGCTCAGTCGACTCCCTATTCTTTTCCATCTTATTATTTAATGAAGAGGATCAATTAACCTATGGTTAGCAGTTAACCGATGTTTGTGAAACTGGCCCTAATTGATCGATGTGTATCGTACGGAGAGAATGTTAAATTTATCCTGGCACTTTGAAGAATTTTATGAGAGTTTTCTGAAATTTGGCTGTACATTCTAATAGTAATTATATTTAGGCGCGGTTTCACCAAACGTCGTTTAATTTTAGTCTCAGTTTAATTTACGTTTGTCTCTTTCTAAAGCAACAGTCGGAAGGAGACGGAGAATGAATTAAGCTAAGCTTGAAGTTAAGCGACGATGGTGAAACCAGGCCTTAGTATACTAGTAGAATATATGATAGAGTTTCAAAAAGCACTCCTAAAAGCCTTCATGCCACGTTGTCTCACGATTACATAATTTTCAGGGTAAATTTTAAGAGAAAATTCTCTCCGTGCACATCAAACGGATGGTATAATGATCGACATACGTGGTAGAATGGACTGAGCGTTTCGCGCGACGAGCGGTACGCGCTCTAGAGAGAGAGAGAGAGGGAGAGAAACACAGTAGGCCTATGTTTGTCTCTCTCGCTAGCGTCTCATTGATCTCTTTTGCCCTTCCGTTACCAACAACTGCCATATAATCTTATACTCAATACTGCTTTATAATCATCGACATAAAGTGGACTGAGCGTTTCGCGCGACGAGCGGCACGCGCTCTAGAGAGAGAGAACACAGTAGGCCCATAGTGTAACTAGTAGGCCACTCCGTCATTTGTTTCGTTTTGCGTCGATCTCTTCTGCGCATCCGACATTGTTCTGGGCAGACCAATGAGAGAAAAGTTGAGTGGTAGTGTGGCTTTGATGAGTACGTACATACACACACACGTCGCTAGATCTTGCCCGAGTGCATGGCGGAATACCACGCGATTTGGGCCGCAAAGATGAAAGGGGCCGACAGAGAATGGACCTACCAATTATACTGTGGTAGGCCTTTCTTGCTAGCGTCTCATTGGTCTTTCTTATCGTCCCACTACCAACAACTGCCAATGAGATGCTAGCAAGAGAGAGAGACAGGCATAGGCCTACTGTGTTTCTCTCTTTCTATAGCGTGCGCCGGCTCGTCGCGCGCAACGCTCGGTCCGTTCTACATGCCGATGGGTATAATACTCTTTTGTCAATAGCGACAGGAGTCCGGGATAATCGAGGTCAGAGATGCCTCGAAATTGTGCGATGCGGAATGGCGTGGTCGACTAGTATTTTTAGCGGGGTAACGGGGTGAAAACGCACGAGGCTCCCTATCGACGAGACCGCGAAATTCATTGTACGTAATCCGCCATGTAGAACGCGGGCGATTTGTCACGATCGATTTAATCGTGCGAATCGGCAGCGCTCTAGAAAGACAATTCGTTGGACGATTTGATTCGACGCGGCGATTGCGGCGATCCAATCCGCGAGCCGGGTTATGTTATGCGTGCGGATGTAGTCGCGCAGTTAAATTTAGTCGCAGGCAATGCGCATAAAGCCGTGCGCGCACGCAGATTATTGAGAATGATTTGTAGTTGTGTCTGCGGCGGGCGGTAACTAAAGCGTGACGTTAACAAGACGTAAATCTCCGATGTAATATGCCGCGTTGCCGTGAGCTCGGGCGCGCGGGTACGTGATGTAATTTACACAGATATACTGCTAACCGTGGACCTAAGTCTTTAATTAGCGCCGTCCGCAATAATCACATCGCTACCGGCGATTTACCCGTCCGGCGGGAATAAATTTCGCGCGGCGGCCGCGGCGACCGGCGAATTTCGGCGATTCGCAAAAGCGGCGAGACGACTCCCGGCGTACGGTCGAATAATCCATAAATCCACGCCGTAATTCACCGGACTCAGCTGGCACAGCCCGGCGTCGGAATCGAGGAAACGTCCACCTCGCGGCGTGCGCCTCGTAAAATCAGTCATGTCTCCGCGCGGCGCGTGCCTATTTAACGCGTGCCTGCCTCGCGTTTCGGCCCGCGGGAACGTATCTCGCGCGGACGAGCCGGAGGGTGTCATCGATTCCCGAAAGCGACGAAAAGGAAAGAAAGGTGAGCGCCCGGTCGCGTCCGGGGTAACTTTCCTTGGGACTTGGCAGGCACCGCGAGCTTATTTGTATATAGAAGGGTGGATCAATAAAATGAGGGAAGAGAAGGTCGTGGCGTGCAGGCGGGTCAGACGATTTCCAGCTCACCTACATAGGCGCACCTGTCTGAATATGCGAATCCTTTGGTAGCGTATCCGACGAAGGTCGAATCCGTAGGAGCGCGGACCGGGCCGCATTTGCATGCAGCCGCGAAGCGACTTGCTTTTCCTATGTACGTATTACGTGTAGTTTCCTTAATACGGAGGCCACGTACATCTCTAACATTTCCAGCTACGTATTTTAAGGCGAATGTAGTTTGAGATATCGTCTGCTACCGACTTCAAGCTGATTGCACGCGTGATAAATTATTTTACTCTCCCGACGATATTACTATTATAAACGTAAAGGGTTATTGTTGCAAGTATTGCAACGCGGTATGGGACTTTTTCCTTCATTTCAATCCGTTCTATCTTCTGAAGATAATACTGCTAGAAAACTACGGGACACCCTGTATAAATCAAGATAATCTGTGTTTAGAACCAAAAGTTCGTTACATGTAGATTATATTTCTACACGCGTATTGGAATTTTTTACTTCTTGGTTATCTATTCAGAATTTCCAACTGAGAAATGTAGTCAATCTCACCCTAATTTCATATCCTCTAACAGTTCGTATACGCATATTCGACAAAGGTATGTGTGTACTCTCTAAAAATCAATTAGTGAATTATCACTGGAAACAGTGAATAGCCACTGATTTGCAGTTATAAGTATACTACTGAAAATTGCAGTGGTAACTTATAACTGTAAATCAGTGGCTATTCACTGTTTTCAGTGATAATTCACTGATTGACTTTCAGAGAGTACTGAGATGCTCTATAGTAATGTCAAAAGTCGCCTTGAAAGTCGGTTCGTCCCAATATGGAAAAAATCGTCGGATTCCAAATATCTGGACATGTCAACCTATCAATCATCTGTCACATTTAACATACAAGAGTACTGATACTATAAAATCCATATTATGATAAAGTTGGAACGAAAAATGAAAAAACGATGCGACTCACTTTCTTCATTTTAATATAAAAGATTTGTAAAGAGAAGTACTTAATGTGCCAAGATTCAGTTCGTGTGTTATTCTTTTTCTCCGATAAAAAGGAAAGTTCGAAATTTTACAGGGTCTCGGAAAAATACTCGCGTTGATTTACGCAGTCATTATTTCGCAGTGACTCTCAATGCGATTCTCTCGCCTAGAAAGAAAACAAATGGAATATCTGAGAAATATCTTTCATCTTGTAACATTTGCATATCCCACATAATTCGCTTGTGGCGCAATGTAAGGTGTCCGTTGGAACGGAAGGGCCCACCCAGAAAACATTGGCAGTAGGGATAAACCTGCAGAAATTTGTGTCTCTTCCTCCCGCTGTGCGCGCCGCGCTATCCCTCGCTTAATTACACCACGGGACTCGGTTTATCCAACGCATAATCTTTCTTAATAACCCGGCCCGATACGGGCGACATCACCGATAGAAACAGCGCGGCTGTCATCGCTTGTATTTTACAGTCAACGATCTCGAATGATTATTAAGAATAGTCTCCTGCACGGAGAGGATTTTCTCTTACGAATTATCCTGAAAATCATGGAATCGTGGGACAACACGGCACTTCGAAGAATCTTATGGGAGTTTTTTTGAAATTTTGCAAGGAAGAAATGATGTAATTGTAATAAAATCGTTGAAACAACATCAGTATTCATGAATGAAAGACATCAGATAGTCGTCTTAATAGTCTGGATATTTGGTTCAATGCTTAAAATTAAAATTCATAGCAAATACAACAGAGTGAATTATTTATGCTTGTGGCAGTCCGTGACGTTAACGTTTAATTCAAGCAACTTCACTTGTTTTAATTCAACAGCATTTTTTCCGTGAAGGTCCCCTATTATGAGATAGGCTCCTTATATGAGATAGTAGGGTTTCTGCTAAATTAATAGGCATTATCTGTTGGCTCCAGCGTGTATTTATTGTTCGTGAAATGAAATCTATTTAGTGGAAAATTCATTGTTAGCTCGTGTAATCGTTGCGAGAAAAGATTTGTGCTTGAATTTGGCAGTTGAAAATTTGCTATCTCATCTTAGAAGCCTACCTCAAAATAGGGGACTTTCTTCTAATTATGCTTAGTATACATTTTACTAGTAGAGTGTATAGTAAAATTTCAAAAACCTCTCGTAAAGTTCCTCAAAATGCCACGTTGTCCCACGATTACGTGATTTTCAGGGTAAATTTGAAGGGAAAATTCCGCGTATGAAAAGATCATTCTTTTTAATATATCCGCTAACAATAGAGCCGATGATACGCATTGCCTTGATATCGGATAATAAATATTCAATATTGACAGTAATCTACCACAAAAATCTCGCCAATATACATGACATATAAATCCGCATAATCAGCGTGTGTCATCGAAAGTTCCATTTAAATGAAGTCGTGAGACCTTTTGTCGCCCATAATCTTGCACGACGACGAGCGGCCATCAACACCGCCTCTAAGACGTTGAGCTACCAATGGTAGCGGCCCCGACCGATCCAAAAGCAGCACAAAACATTAACATAAAATGGGTGTTGCTCTCCGCCACGCCCTCGCACATTTCAAATCGTTCGTTGGAATTCGCCTACCATGAAAAGTGACGAGAAGCCGCGGCGACGGTCGAGGAATAATTTGAGAGACGATCAGTCGCCTCGGCGCCGCGGCGTGCTTGAGGAAAGTCTTTCACGACAAAGCGGACCGACGTCGCTCGGGCCCGGCCGGTCTGCGACGCCCGCGTGGGCGCGGAAGATAAATATCAAGATTACTTATTTTTCTCGGCGCGCGTCTCAACGGCTCGTAAATGCCGTCGTAATTTGGTCCCGTCGCTCAGTTGCCGCATGGGTCTTTCGGGAATTGAGATTCGCCGCCGCGTCGGGGAACCAGGCACCGGGGACCGCACGCGAAACCGGCCGCCGAAATGTGAGTCATCTTTATAAAAAAAAAAAAAAATTCAATAGTGAGCAGCTGATCGCGTCGTGTCGTGCCGCGAGTACAACGAAGTCTGGGCTGTAAAGTAAGAACGCGTGACGTGAATGGCGGTACGAAATGCCCAATGTACTTTTCAACAGTCAAGTCGAGGTATCTCGATGGGAATTCTTTGCCAAAAGGACGTTCTACGTGTTCCATGTATTCTAGAACCTTATCGTTTTCCCGCGCGATTTTTTAAATGTTTAACACTCGAGATGTGCAAATATTCCGTAATGAACTTCGCGGTGTATTAATACGGGGCTCGATCGCTTCTCGCTTTCCAACGTGCGAAAGTAACTCCAGATACATCATCGAGGAGAGAAACAGGATGCTATTACGTACACTCGGCAAAGCTATACACGTCAACCTCCGGAAACGCCCACTATGCGGTTCCGTCGCCTGGCAGAAAATTTCTCACGTGTCGGTTCATTGTATTTGCCCATGCCGACGCCTCGGTACTGTCTGTTTCAATGTGCTAAACATCAGGTACCGCGTCGCGGCGCAAATAAAACGGTGTCAGCTACCGGTCCCAATTACCGCGCCACCCAGCGCGGAACGTGCCGGTTCGCGCGGTCACGAGAATCATCTTTAAACGCGTTTCCCATCGTACGATCGTGAGTTTACTTCTGGCGAATGGGAAAACCAAAAGGACACGAAACGGAAATAGATCCGCAAAAAGACGAGTGTTTGGCTAACTGGATAATTCATCGTTCGAAACTTTCATTCTTTCCGGCGATCCAGCTTCTTGAGATCCGTGAGTAAATCGTAATCGAATCGTTTATAATCCGTTTGCAATGTGCAGTAACATTTTAAGAGGGAAGCATTTTTCGGATTTTTTCATCATTTTGTTCAACGTTGCACACAGTACTTTAAATATAGTAATTTATTAATAAAAATGTTTTAAACATACTTTTAATATGTATAAATATGCAAGAAAAACACTGTCCCAAACACCTTACTTTTTAAAAATTTGCAAAAATAGCATAAAAATTCGGCTACTAGACTAGAATAACCTTAAACTGTGTAGAACCCAAACATCAACTTTAGAAACGAATCCAAGGCGTTTCAAATGATCGTGAACGGAATCCGAAAAAATATCCGAAGGTGTAGAAATTGTTATCGAATATTGATGAGAGACGAGATCCGTTTATTTTCAGAAGCACACAATTGAAATTTCAAAAAATTTCCATACGCATTTCCTACTGTGAGATAGAAAGGCGAGTGAAATGATAATGTTCTTCCCTTTTCCTGTTGATAAATTTTTGTTTTTTCAAGCGAGCGATAAAATTAGTTTAAGTTAGAGTGTCGTCAAGTGCGTATGGAGCATTCTTAAATCGTTTCAAACGAGTCCTTTGTAATATTCGATGACCCTCTTATTATCCATCCTGGTGTAACTACAGTATGTCCGTAATTAGATTCAATCATGACGCGTGTTTTGCGCGGAGTCGATTAAGCGTATTAAATTGATTAAAATCACGATATATAGCAGAGCCGTGATCCAATGAACACTGTTTAATGCCCGACGAGCATGAGCATAACAGGGAAGAAGGAACAAACGCGGCAAGGGTAAAAATAAGAAGATAAAGAAGCGTTTGCACCTGTCGGGACCGCGATGGTGATGGTTAACACGGTCACGTAACCGACCATACGTGAGAATCTCGTGCGAGCGAGTCGAGAGGCGCTGGCGAGCTCATAAGTGGAAAATAAGAGGTCCTTTGTTCCGAAGGGCCTCTTCCCTCGACGACGCCGTCCGAGAAATTCCCGATCCTCCCCGGCGATATACGGTTTCGACGGTCGCTCGCGCGGTCGGCGCGATCGAATAGAACGGGCCTTGTTCTTCTATGCGCGCGCGAGCAAGCGAGAGAGCGCCGAGCCTGAAATCACGCAGCGCGGAAATACTACGGTGCGGCGTGGCGCAATTTATATCGCGCCCTGGCGAAAAATTTCGCTATCTCGCCGCCTGAGAATGTCCGTAAATGAGGCAAGGGTCAAGATTTTACACGGACGCTGATTCATCTCCGGACGTCGTAGAATCTCGCATCTGTTTATTCGCCGATAAGTTAACATGACGCGCGCGTGGCACATGAAATAGTATTCATTTGAACATATCGTATTATATTTCACTCTGCCGATCACAATCTAACATGCGTCTATGTATCACCCGCGGGTAGCAAATTGGAATAGCTTGCGCGTTTAACGATCGATCTATCAATAGTCAACGCGGTCATCGTTATGCAATCCGATATATAACAGTCGGGTATGTAGAGTTAAAAAGAATTCAAATTAGACGGCAAAATATTCTCTCGGTAAAACCACCGTTCGACAATATTAACGGCAATTTCCAATATTCCGTTTGTGCAGGTTATCGCGGGGAACAAGAATACCTACCTGGAGTCGAAGCACGACCTGGAGCCATCAATATGGGCGAGCAAAATTCGCTTCCTACCCTACAGCTACCACCGTCGCACCGTTTGCATGCGCGTCGAGCTCTACGGCTGCCCCTGGAACGACGGCATCGTCTCCTACTCGATGCCTCAAGGTGACAAGCGCAACAATTGGGAATTCTTCGACGCGACGTACGACGGTCATTGGGACGGACAACTTGTTCGCGGTTTGGGACAACTGACAGACGGCAAGATCGGGCCGGACTCCATTAAAATGAGTTTCTTTGACAACTACGACAGAATGACGGGGGGGTGGGTCGGCTGGAAGAACGACACGAGGTCCGGGCATCCGCTCGACGTCAAATTCGAATTCGACCACGTCAGAGAGTTCTCGGCGATTCACATCTTCTGCAACAACCAATTCACCAAGGACATACAGGTAATGTCTACTTAACGTTATATATTTTACTGCGTGACAAGTGATTTTTCAGGTTGTAAATGTACGACACGGAGAATGCGCGTAAATTAAATCGTCGTAAACGTACACTTGTATCTCCTCGGGAATGCTTTTCTTATCTTATTTATATGCATTTCTTTGAAACGTATAAATGTAAGACCTACGGTGCTAGAAAAATCTGCTTAAAACTGATTTGATGATTGATGGTCGATTTCGAGATTCGTATCTGCCACCAGCTACGTATGTCCATTTATCATATCTCGCTGTAAACTTCGAGACCGAGAGGATAACCGTGGCGAGACCGTATTCGTACGATAATAAGCGAGAAAAACTATAAACGGATATGCGTACGGTATAGAGAGGAAATTGGAATGCCTCACGGCACTGACTTGCCGGTGAGAACGGAACGGCTGCTGAATAAAGTAGGCGGCTGGCGAAGGACGGAGAAAAGGGCATAAAAAAAAGGAAAGACGGACAGTCGCGGGGCAAAATGTGCGCAAAGATCCTCCGCCAGCCTTTAATCCACACCCAGAGAATAAAAAAGAAAAGAAAGAATCCACGGGGTTGAGGAGACGGCATGAAATCCAGTTTTCACGTTGGAGTCAAGGTCGGACGTAGGATGGGTAACGAGGCGCAACAACGGTTAGCCCCTGGGTTCGGCTGAAACGGACGGAAGGAGAAAAAGGAAACGACTCGCGGCTTGCTGGATCCGCGTTTCGCTTCAAGCGGCGGCGCGGTGGCCGTGGCTTTGCCGGAGACGTCAGTTTTTCCGTAAAAATTTTTCGCCCCTACGGTCTCTTTACGCCTGAGTGTTTACATAATGGCTCGCTGAACACTCGGCTAACGGCAGCGAGATGTATTTTAATAAAATAATTCGGCACTTAGATGCTCGAGATAGCGAGACATAATTTCAACAAGAATTACTGGGCTCTGATAAGAGCTAAACGAACCAAATTGAAAATAATTTGCCAGCCGACAGCGGAATGTCATTTTAACTTCCGTCAGTAAATTTTATCAATCGGGGCTAAAGTGTAGTGCAGTCGGTTGAATGTCGGATGTGACGCGAAATGAAAAAGGAAGCCTAGCTTTCAATTAAGTTAAACTTTACGGGCGATAAAAATCGTTTGCTCTAGTTGTCGAAATTTATTCGGGTCACTCATTCGTGTGATATCAAGCATAAGTTTGTCAAGGTGTATTGTATTTATCCCGAGGGGGAAACCGCTGAGGGCAATGTGGTGTACGGATTTGTAGCATTACTGGGCATTAGTTTAGGCATTATAAAGATAAAACAAGATAATAAGATAAAGTAATGCCCACTGGACATTAGTGAGCATTGGCGTACAAGATTTTGGTCGGCGGTTTCCCCCTCGATTTATCCTAATTCACCGAGACCAAAAAGCATTGTTACTTTGACGAACGGTCGAAAATGATTGAAGATAATTGTCGTCGCAGGAGATATAATCAAAAAGTACAGCCACGAATGAAATTGCATTATGTAAGCTTGTCATGGTAAAAGCTCGCGCGGGCGAAGTTAGTTAACGCACGTGCTGTCAACAGTTACGTAATTCTCGCCGCGCGCGCCGAGAGAGTTACGAAACTTAATACGCGCGCTGGTTAACCGCGAAAATTTTGCGCCCCATCATCATTCCGCGCGGAGGATCCCTGTATAATAGGCCACGAAACACTCTCCTACCGGTATCAAGATTTATCTGAATGGAGCGCCTCATTACCCGGGCTCGAGCCCGATTGTGCGCCCGCGATCGAGCGAGCCGGAGAACCATGGGGCAGACCGTCGACGAGAGGCAAGTCAAGGCTGAGGCTGGGGCGATTCGTGAGGGAGACCAACGGTGGAGAAGAGAGCGGGACGCGACGATTTCTTTCTCCCCTTCCCTCCCGCGCTCTCTTTCTCTCTATCTCGCGCGTACAATGGCAGTAAGCAACGACCGAGAGCGCAGATACGCCACGTATTCAAATACAATACCGACAGTCTGGCAAGTCGGCAGTTCGGCGAATGGGGCTGCAGAGTGGCAGAAGCTACCCCTAAACGACCTCTCTTATTAACAAGCGCGCGCTCGCGCGGATAGGACACGTCTCCCGAAAGACAGCGCCTCAAAGCATCGCCAGCTACTACCCACCTCCCCGTCTTTCTCTCCACGGCTTCGCGGCTGCCACTTCCTCTACGTCGACTTCCTCATTCTCTCGGCGCATCCGCGGGCGGTAGGCTTCAGTACGTCGAAAATCCATACAGCCTCCGTCTTTGGGTCTAAGGGAGTTAGATAATCTCGGCTTTGTAATCTTCGTCCCTAACTCCTACGCTGTCTTGCCTCCGTATCTCTCCCTGTTTCTCTCTTCCCCCCTCGCGCGCTCCCTCTGTCTCTCGTCCGTTTCACACGGCTCACGGCTTGGATTCTCCTTGCTGAATTGTCTTACGCCTTCGAGGGATGAAATTAGCATTCCACGCGTCCTCGCTCGCTCGGAACGCGCTCGTGAGACACTCCGTATTATCGAAACCGTCGATGTCATCCCGGAGCGCGCCGTTAACTAATTATCTGTTACCGATGGTAATAACGGCGATAATACTGATTACGTGGACGTAATCGAGTATCTGTGGCGTGTGTAGGTGGGTATGTTTCCGATCAAATTAATTCCGCACGGTAGCTCTCAACACACAGCGCTTTATCCGATCGAGTCGCGTGCGGTAATCATGCGCGATTTGTTTGCAACAGTTTTCCGCGTTACAGAACGTCGCTTATAAAAACGGCGGACCGCGGCATTGCACGTTTCTTCTTCCTCACGTTTCAGATATTCTCCGAAGTCAGCATCATGTTCAGCATCGGCGGCAGGTACTACACGGGTGATCCCATCGTGTATTCCTACATGGAGGACAAAATCTTCGAGCAAGCGAGAAATATCTCAATCAAGCTACACCACCGGATCGGCAAGTTCGTCAAATTGAGATTCAGCTTCGCCTCGCGATGGATCATGATCAGCGAAGTCACCTTTGACTCCGGTGAGTTGTGACGCTTCAGCAATTTTCTCTACCTCCACCGTTTTGCCTTTGCAACTCGAGTGCAAAGTTTCAACATATTTATCGCATCGCATATATCTAACCGAATGCGACGTCTCTGGGAAGACCGCAACGTTCGAAATTTTTTCCACGCGTGGAACTAATGGATACGAACATTAACATTCTGCTTAATAAATGTAATTAAAGTTTTTAACAAGAAAATATTTAAAATACGCAAAATAAATTGAAGATATTAATATTTTTATAAATAATAATTGAAATAATTCTAATTTATGTAAACAATCTTATCGCGTAATTAAAAAAATACAAATTTACCCGATTTCCCAATGTGGAATCAATGTTACCGTTTTATACTTTCAATTAGTGAACGTCGACAAAGTTAGCGGCAGAAAATATCGTACTCAGCAGCACGTGTTTCTATTGGTGTTGCAGACATCGCTCACGGTAACTTCACCCCAGAAACGCCGTCCACGACCGAGGCCCCGCGATTGCGGGACAAAACTTTGACTCGCGACAATCCGCTGCAAGCCGAAGTTCCGGTAGCTAAGCAGGACGATCCGACTTACATGGCTGTGATCATTGGCGTCTTGACCGTCGTAATTCTGCTACTGGCGGTCGCCATATTCCTAATAGTCACGCGTCACAGACAGCGGAAGAACTTTGCCAGCCCTCTGGGCGCCAAGAGCGCGATTCCGACGGGCAATCATCAGCATCTGTCGCCGGAATCCGCGTACGGCACCACGGAGAAGGATCCCTCCCTGATGACCTACCGGGTCGAGGAACTCGACGACCGGTACGCCGGCACGAAGCTCACGACCCTGCCGCGCGATCTCAATGATCGTCTTTTGGGCGATGTCAGGCTTGACGAGTACCAGGAACCCTTCCACGAGAACAAGTATCGGGAATCTCCTCATGCGGCGTACTACGGATACAGCACGGTTGTTGTAGACAACAAGGATCTCCACGACAACGTCGAGCAGTCTGGTGAGTCGAGTTCCTTCAACTTGTTCAGCGTAGCCGCGGTGCTTCAGAGTACAAATACGAGATAGACGAAATGGTCCGACTGCACGTCCGCGCGTCACTTTGTTTAATAACCTTATCTCTCCTATTTCATCCGCGATCCTCAAGTTTGTCTGATGTGACTCATGTTAATAATAAATATGTCGCCTGATAAAAGGGCGTTTTACTCGCAGGGCAGTGAAAAAGAATATTTTTTGCTGCACAGATGCCACGTACGATTATGCAGTACCAATGCCCGTGCCTAGCGTAAGCAGCGATCAAGATAGCGTATTCTCGAAATCGTCCTCCAGAGGTAGCGCAAAGGTGAGACATAAAAGCATTTGTTACAGCTTTGAGAGTTACAATCTCGAGATAAAATATTTTTTATGACAAAAGTAATGGTTTCTCCCGTGAATTTAACTCTTTGAGGGCCAAGCTGATTTCGGCATTAAACGTAGTCATAAATTTAACGTAGATTATTTTAATATTCTATTGCTTTTTTAATGTACCAATAAAATTTATATTATTTCTTTTAATGTTTTAAATACTTAAAAAAAAGTAACACTATTCTTAATCGGATAAATAAAACCGTTGCTCGCAAATAGACGACGGAATCTTTGACGCATCACCGAGATATGAGTGATGTGGCCCCCAAAATATTAATAGATATGTGTTTAATGTAACTTGAGTCTCTCGTGAAAATAAAAGTGACATCATTGATTATTAAAAAGCATAAATTATATATCGAAGATTAAGAAATGTGCTCCTTTCCTTGCTACTTTTGAAGCGAAAGCATGTTCTGTGAAATGTATTTGTCGGACACACGGAGGCGTTAACGTTTCATGTGCTTTTCCGATGCATTAGGCGTGCTTGCAGAGCTTTTTTCCGCCGCCTCCGCCCCCGATGAGCGCACCACCTCTTCGAGGCTCCAACAACTTGACGTACTCGAATCCACCGAGTCCGGAACCAGTTTGCGAGCGTGAGCGTAGAAGTAGTAAGCGCCGCGAGCACTCCTTGCACAGATACGCGTAAGGATCTCTTGCAGCCTGCAGGATATTCACGGGAGGCGAAAGGACCGAAGGTACGATGGATTCTTCGTTACTGCGAGCAACGAGATCGCGTGATCGAGTCTGCCCCGCGGCACTGGTTTGCCTTCCGAGAATTCTGTTCCATTTCACATTCCAACAAGTATAATTTCCCCAACTTTTGCATTCAAAATTTATATTTAAATAATAATATTCCTGCCTAATTATGTCGCGGTAGTAAAAAAACACACCGCTTTCCATTGTTCTGGTTTCATATTTTCGTCGCAATCCCGTTTTATTTAGCGCTTTTGTTTAATGGCAACTTTGACTATTCATGAGTACTATTATCAACTTCGTATTCAAATTAAATTGTCGTCTCTTGACGCGTCTCCTTTCTTCTCTTTGTAAGAAAATTTTGATAGAATTAAATTATTCACGCACGTTCCACACGCTTTGGCCCGTGTGAGCGTTTTACAATATTTATACGCGTCGGAAGGAAGGGACGCGAGCGTGGAGCGGAGTAAAATAACTCCAGTGCCACGAGGGTACCTCGCGAGAACGCGCGCGTTGTTAATCCCGGGGTAAAGACCGGTGGCAAAAGTAACACGTTGTACATTTCGAAGCGAAACGCTGTGAGCGACCGCGCGGCGAAAGGGGTCGTAATCCCGCTTGTTACAACGACGATATTTTTTCCCCCCGAGTTTAGCGCATTGCGAGAAAAACAGAGAAAACGACGGCGATCGCGGCGCGGTCGCGTCCGTCGCGAGAGACAGAGCCCTCTTCTCGACGAGCACTGCCATCGACGAATTACGAATTCTCGTAAGCGTATCGTAGGCGCGATCTCACGCACGATCCTTCAGGGGGATTCGACCTACGATTTCTATGGATTAAGCATAAGGGCCCGAGCAGGAAGACTGTCGTAACCATTTACGACGTACTTAAGTCGGTGGCGGAAGCAGAAAGATTGTCGTAATTGTTTACGATTCCGTCGTAAGACTTAAGTCGGTGTCGGAACACGCAAAGAATTGCCGTAGACGGTGGTTGCCATCCATCGCGTCGATTGCATCGCGAGGCGCTATACGTCTACGACAATTCTTTGTGCGTCGACTTCCGACTTAAGTCTTACAACGGAATCATAAACGCTTACGACAATTTTTCTGCTTCCGACATTGACTTAAGTGCGTTGTAAACGGTTACGACAATCGTACAACAATCTTTGTGCGTTGATTTCCGACGCTGACTTAAGTCTTACGACGGAGTCGTAAACGGTTACGACAATCTTACGACAATTTTTTGTGCGTCGACTTTCGACGCCGACTGAGTCGTAAACGATTACGACAATCTTTCTGCTTCCGACATCGACTTAAGTCTTACGTCGTAAACGGTTACGACAATCTTACGGCAATTCCTTGTGCGTTGATTTCTGACGCCAACTTAAGTTTTACGATGGAATTGTAAACGGTTACGACAATCTTTCTGTTTCCGTCACCGACTTTAAGTCTTACATCGTCGTTACGACAAACGAGGAATTTTCTGCTCAGGCCCTAATCTCGTAATCCGAAGCTGTATTCAATTGGCATATCAGTTTCTATGGTAAAGCGACCTCGTGCGAACGACTCTTCCCGGTGAGATTCGCTCGCGAGACCTCCGTGGAAAATTGACGAAGGTCGCGAATGTCCTGACGTTTTTCAACGTCCGCGGGATTTTCGAATCGCTCATCGGGGCGTCGATTCTCAGAATCCATCTCGCGCATCGGCGTTTCGCACTGCCAAGTCTTCTCATACGTTCGAAGTGGAGTTTCGCGAACGAGACGTAACTCGCGACGTTGCGAAATGCCACTTTCGTCCGTCAATCTCTCCGAGCGGCAACGGGCGGGACGACGTGCGGCCCGCCACGGGGAACATATACACGCACGTCAACGCGGACGAATTTCCAAGGAAGAGTCGCGCTAATGATTTGGTCTGTTCGGCGCGCATGTGCAACAAGATCGAGCTCGCTATCGATCCGGGAGGAGAACGCGCCGGTGACCGGGGAGGGAAAAAACGACCGGGGCGGATGAGATATTTATCCGATGGCGCGATCGTTACGTCGGGTCGAAGAGATAATTAATTACTGGCTTGATGGAATAAGCGAGCGTTTCAATTATTCGCGCGCACGAACGAACGTCAGGCGACGCAACGCGACGCGACGCGACGCTTGACGTCGGAGAGAAAAAAGCCGCGATGAGATCGGCGTAACGATATTTAAAGGAGCGAACGATAGCGAGCTTCGATTCCCCGCCTCACACAAGACTGACGTCACATAAATAATTCAGTAACCCGATCTGCGCCGTGCCCGCGCGCACGTCGTATTATTTATTGTCCCGTGACGAATTTTTAATTTATATATACATATATATACATACGAAAAAATGAAAATATATATAGATATATATATATATATACAAAAAAGGTAATACGTATTATCGTACGACGACGAATTTTAAGCATATAATAGATTGTATAAGCCCAACTTTATTTCTCTATCTCTACCAACATCGCCTTCATGCAACGAGGAGAATCGAGAATTACCAGCGTTAAGGAACCGACAATACAGGGATGAGACAACAATAACTATGTACATGTGTACGTAATCGAGCAAAGGAGGAGGAAAAAAGAGCACGTGTAGAAAGATTCGAGATATCGGGTGCGCAAGGATGTGAGAGACCCTCGACCACATTGTGATATATAATGAAAAAGAGCCCGGCTCTCTCTCGCGAGTAACATATATATATATAGGCACGTTATATGCTTAAGCGTGCCCTGCGCGGTGGAGCTCTCCCTTGAATTTCGCCCTGAAAGAGCAGCCGTAAAGTGCGGGCGACTCTCTTTCTCGCGCCTAGGAACGGCGACGGCGATGTTGCGCGCACCTGTGTGTGCGCGGCGCGAAATTTATTACCGGTTTAAATATCTGACGTGGAACGTGGCATGAAATTTAAGGCTCGTTCGGCGCTTTTACCGCGAGAGCCGTTCGAATAGCGCTCCCCCCCGTACGATTATTTGGTCGTCCATTGACCGCCGCACTCTCCTCGATTACCGATCGTAATCTATTAAGCTCAATTTTTCTCTCATTTCGTCGGACCCCCGGCTCTCGCTCTCGCGATCGCACGTCGGATACCGCGACGCGCTAATTGACATTCCGCTATTTTTGTCGGGACAACCGGACGAGCGATATTCGCGCGCGTATCGGTTTTCCGATTAAGCGACTGAGACAGTTCGGCTCGTCGAGGAGAAATTTAATCGACCGTCCCCCCCGCGCAGGTCGCGCCCTTTCGCGGCAAGAGCGGCGCGTAGCGTCTACAACGATTGGAGAACATTGCTATGTATATTTAGTGTTTAATCGATATCGTCGCCACGTAGGATGTTAGGGAATTTTAAGAGAAAACTAACAGTGACAGCTTCGAACGCTTCTCGAGTGTAAATATTAACCGTTAGGGACCTCGTACCATATACACACACTTTCTTCAAGCGCCTTAAGTTGGGGGGGGGGGCACCAAGCAAATAATTTCGTCGCAATAATAATCGTCGTCTTTTAGGGGCGGGAAAGATATCACGTACAGGCGGTTATCGTTATCGTAATAGGGCAACGGCGGACCGACGACAGGAGCGGCCCGGCGTCGCCCTCAATGTCCACGCGAGCGCGATCTTCGATTTCGCCGCTTTTAAGGCCGAGATCGGCGTGGTCGTGCTCGCTGAGTTTCCTCCTCGTCGACGGCTACTCGATAATTTTCTCGCTCAGCGGCACCGTGATCGATTCGCCGAGCTATCGTTACCACGGCGCGGAAAATTCGAGTACCTCGAAGCCCTCTCTCGTACTTCCAGCCGCTGACAAGTCCGCTCCTGGCAATAATCGTCAATTTGTCTCAAGCGAACGTGAACGCGCGACGCACGTCGAGCAGACGAGGCTAGATCGGTAAATATCGGTAGCGGCGAGGGAAAGGTGGCGAGATAGCGGAAAGTTAATTTGTGTAAAAAGAAGTTGCGCGAGTTAAGGGAGATCTTCTCTCCGGCGGAGGAAACGATAAGGATGACGAGGGAAGACACTTTCGTATCTGCTCACGGTGTACTACTTCGTTGGGGGGATATCTTGTGTGTCTCTTTTATATAATACTTGCGTGAAACCGCACAAGCTGCCGACAGTGCCGGTTAATATCCTTCTGTCACGTCGCGATCGTTTCCTAGAGTCATCTGTAATTTCGTCGCCATCTTTTCACAACCTTTTCACAGTTTTATACTTTTATACGGCGTTCTTCACTTTTGTGCGTGTCAATATCACTGTGATACGTTTACCGAAACTCCTTACTTTCTTAACCCTTTGCGTCCTTTCGCTGTGAAACCACCACGATGTGTTCTTTCAATTTTCTCATCGCTATTTTGAGTTTGTTGCGATCGTAACTGAATACTCGCGTGGTTTTTAAAAATATTAAGTACAGCAATTAATATCATGTTACTCTTTTAAAATTATTTTTCGTATAATTGACGGGCATTTGTATGCGTGATAAATGTTTGTCTTTTTGAGAAACACATTTCTTCTCACACTGGGCCGCAAAGGGTTAAGTAAATCACTCTGAGCGAAAAGGAAGTTTTCACTCTAGAGTCTATTGCTCTCTAATATAAAACAACCGGCCAGCGAAAGCGGCGACTGTTAAAGACAATGCGCGCGGATTATCCGGGCCCTCGAGTACCACCAACATACAAAGACCCCTCGAGGACGTAAATAATGGCGTCCAGTGCCGACCGGCCAATCCGTTAGAACTAGTTCGAGCAGAACCGGATGCCATTATCTACCTCCTAGGAGTCAAATTGGACATGGTCATAATTTCGAGTTATTCTCGTCAGCGACGAGAAACGTTAATAATCCTGGGGCGTAAAGGGGATTCATTCTCGCGGATCGCGCCGCATGTTACACAGCTAATTCTTATCGCCGCTCTCGCAGTACCGGGAACGGAGATAGCACTGTCTTGGCACCGTGCGGGTTCCTTGCCCCCCCTGGTATACGTATTCCTACGTCAGTCGTAAGTTTTCGTCCGGCCGCCGCCGTGTCGAGGGCGATACAACGATACGCGGTACGGCTCGTCGATATAACCGAGATACGACACGATCGGTTCTGCATCGGTACGTACAGTGTGCACGGGGGACACGCGGCGCGACCGGGGAAAAGTCTCGGGCATAAATCACGCATGCAGCCCTTTTTCTATCTGACATGAGAAATGCGGGAAGAAGCTCCGACGGTTGAACCGACGACACGCGGTCCGACGGAGTTCGCGGGGGACGGAAAGGGGGAGGAAACTGAGGCCCATCTTTTATACGTACGACACGTAAGTGCGTGCATACGACTCTACGACGGAGCGTAAGAAGAAAAAGAAATGGACCGACCTCCTCGGAGGTCGCTTGATCGATCGACCTTCGGAGCTGCATATTATGCTCGCGGGCACATCGCAATCAATACCGTTTACGAATCGCGCCGGGAGAAACTGCTCAAAAATTTACATTATTAGGATTAAACACACGAGTTTCATGAAATAAAACGGTCTTTCCCAAGTAAGCGCTTAAATGTTGCAGTGTGCAAGTCTGATTTCACATTACTTACTGAAGAGGGTCATATTTAATGACCGAAACGTCTGAACTTGAAACTTTTTATACGTTTTAATTTATTGTTTTACTATCATTGACTTTCTTATTTTTAAGTATTTGATACCGTCGAACATTCAGTGGCCGGCTCTCATTGCCTTAACCCTTTGAAGCATGGTGGTAACCCACGGTTACCACCTCGACTTCTTCACTTTTTGGCCATAATAATTACATGCCTCGGTGGTCGAATTGGTTGAGACGCCCGCCTAGAGTGTAGGGAAGTCGTGGTTCAAACCCTGAGGTAATATTTTTTGCAATAAATTTTCTGTATTATTAAAATTGCCAGATACGGTCAATAAAAATCACTAATTGTTGTTAATCACTGCTGGCGACTTTTAAGAATATTCTTATTAGTTGATTATTCTTTTAAGTTTTGAATTCCACCATCTTGAATCCGCGATTTTGAATTACTGGAGCCTAATATATCGAACAATTTTTCGTGAAATGAATCAATACGCTAATTTCTCTTTTAACGCGCGCGGTAAACTCGGCGCGTTTTTCTTTTCACGGAGATATAATTCTTGTACGGATTGCGGGCCGCGCACGATTCGTCGACGGCGAATTCGACCACGTATGATTTCTGCATGAGAGACTTGTCGAGCACCGTGTACATAAAAAGATCGATCGTGGAATACCTCGCGCGTCTGGCTGTACCGCGATGTATTGTAGAAAGTCGAAGAAAGCGCGGTGGGCAGATACGACGACGACAACGACTACGATGATGGTTTATCAATAGATTTAGCACGAGCGATAATAGGGAACTTTCCGCCACCCCGAAGGTATTAAACGCGCCGCATAATCTCTCGATGTATATAGCGACTGTAATTTATACATACATATGTGTAAACGTATTATAAATACGCCCGCCGACGCGCGGGAGCGACCATTTGTATATATCTGTATTATATAGCGTAAAACGAATGCGGAGGGCGGGTACCATTGTGAGTGTAATTATATCGATCAATAGCATAACGCGAGTACCGGATGCATATTTGATATTTGTGTGCCTGTATCCTTTTGTATGCTATCGAGATAGATAAAAAAAAACACACAAAAAACTATACATATTATATTGTATTAATTGCGACGTAGGCGGCTCTACGAACGTGTGTAACGTAAACGCGTACAGTACACGAACAACAAGAATACATACACGCATGCGTACACAAAGTCATACACACAGATACGTCGGGCCGACCGGCCGACGAGTGAAATAAAACTTTTAGCGAAGCGAAGATGGCCTTGTGAGATTTTTTTCTCGTGACCTCGGAGAAATCATCTTGTTCCCTTATCGCCACGTTTTCTGCCGCGTGGAGAAACGCGGCTCTCGTAATACTTTCTGACGCTCTTGTAAAAAAGTGCTGCGTTCATAATGTCGCGCGTCAACCTTGATTACGAGAATAATTATTTCAGTCCAGTTTCAACAATTGCGTTATCACGGATAAATACAATAAAGGATTCTCAGGCTGCAGCGGATATTCGTCGAGGGCCAATTATCCAGGTAATTGTAGAATAATCCAATGACTAGTACGCTTAATTGGGAATCTCCGGAGGTTCCATAAATACTCTTTAATCTTAATAAATGAATATACATTGAAAGTACGAGGCATTGGATACTTAAGGCCAACTGGGATCCGCTGAATCTGTTTATTAGCTATTCTGCCAAGTGATTTATACCTCTACCTAGAGCGTTCTGAAAATTCAGATTTATACCAGCGACGTATCTCGAAGCACCAAAGCACGGGCCACGTTAAAAATTCTTGCGGATATTATACAGTAAACGAGTAGTGAAATTTTGAATTTAGCTTCGATCGTGAATACAGTCGCGCGATAACTCGCGTGAGAAGCTCGGTTCTTTATCGTTTTTCCCTTTTGGCATTTTAATTAAAAATTTTATCGGCACGCATATTGCCGCGTCACTTTAATATCAATAGTTCGTTGTCAAATTGGATAAATTTTCAAAGGCAATAACCATTATTGCTTCGGTAACGAGTACACGCGAATATACACGGGCGAAAACTTTTATTTCGCAGGTTTTACAAACTGCCTAACGTACCCGCGTACAGGTCACGTCACGCTGGGCTTTCGTAGTGTCTGTCGTCCTTTCATCGTACTAATTTGGCACCGTCAACGACGTCATTTGTCATTCTAATGGCCAGAACGACGACCGCGTTTTTAATGACTCGAGGGTGAGAGCGGCACTCCGTGCGTTCCCTTCCATTTCACCACCCCCCGTTCTCTTTTTTCGCAAGTTCCTCTTTAATTTGCCCTCGACACGCTGCTTTACGCTTCATCCTCCCCCTCTCTCTCGCTCGCTCGCTCGCTCGTCTCCAGCCTTCCTCATCCGTTCAACCATTTTCTTTCGAGAAAACGTAATGTAAAGCCGAGGAAGATGCCTCCCCCTTCTTACTCTTTCTCTTTGTGTACACATTCTTTCTTCCCGAGTTCGTATTTTATCTAGCCAGTCGTATTTTAAAGCTTAGATGCATAAAAGCACCATTTTATCAATGCATTTCTTCGTCTATAATACTTATTTCAATACATTGCAATACCTTATCGTTTTGCCTCATTACTCCCGATGATTCCACTGAACGTGTTCAGAATTGTGTTTTACAAGTATGTCTATCCCCTCGAAAAAAAGAACATACAAGAGTAATTTTTTTAAATTTATGCCTTAATAAAATAATATATAAATTAATATAATGACTGGAGGAAATCTTATAAGTTGCCAGAAGTAATTAAAACTTCAGAAGATTACTTGACCATGTCTGGCAAATTTGTATGTTTAAACTCGCAACGTTTCGACCATGATTTGTGGTCCTTCTCAAGTGCTAATTGTGTCTATAATTCCGTATGGTAAATCAAAAGAACAGATCTTAATTTCACGAACGTGTCATGTTTTGCCGTTCGTGTAATTAAGATCTGTTCTTTTGATTTACCATACGGAATTATGGACACAATTAGCACTTGAGAAGGACCACAAGTCCCAGTGAAGTATAAATTAAGTTTTAAATTAATACAAATTACAGTTAAACCATCGGCATTGCGGTTAACAAAGTAAGTACTTTCAAAATGTTAGGCATGTTTTTAATTACACATTTGATAAAATCGTCCTTGTCGTTTATTATCTTGTTTTTATCACATAAAATTCTATTGATAAGCGAGCTCTTTTTCTAACGTGCTTTAAGTATGACAATACTTGAAGAAACTCAATGCGCCTGAAATAGACGATCGATCATTCGGAACATTGAGCTGCTATGATAAAGTAAGTCACGATCGAGTACATTTATCGGAGCAAGGAAAACGCAAGGTGAGTCGGCTAACGCTTTTTCGTAAAAGTCCCCGTAACCGCTGATTATTGTTTCTCATCTATCAAAGCGTAAGTGTTACGGCGGCAAACACGTCGCGTCTCGCCCTCGAAAATATTGCTGCATCACATTCGGAATTACGGCCGAATTCTGCGCAAGGGGTGGCACGCACGGAGGAGCTCCTTTGTGCCGTGTCGTGTTCCGCACTGGCGCCGCGGTTATCGCCCGCCCTAATTTCGACCTCGATTAAGGGTTCACCTACCACTTACGAAGTTGGGGTGCGGGCACCTTCACGCGCATAGGGACGCGTATACCTTACCATCCGATCGAATAGAAAAAAAAACATCGATATGCAAGGTCATTGCCCATACAGCACAGAAAGTTAAAGTAATATTGCTGAAACGTTGCAATGTTGAAGTATAAATATAATATCTTTTCTACGTTGAATCTAGGTTTGTAATGTACATTAATTCTTTATATTGCTGCAACGTTGAAACAATCTTCAACAAATTATTATTTTTTGACACTCAAGTAGATTAAAACACGTATAATTATGAAATGTATATGTCATATGATACTTTTGCAACGGTCAGAAATTTTCAGAGCTAAGATTGGATTATTATTTTAGTGGAATGATTCAACTTCAGCGCTTCCAACAGTTGTAAAAAGTATTCTGCTAAACACGACCAATGTTAACTCAATATAATTTAACAATGTTTTCTGAACGTTGAATTCTAACGTTTACAAGACATTACAAGTCAGCGGACATTAGTAGTTTTTACAATATCTTTTCAACGTTGAATCTACATTTCGTAACATTGATGCAATATTGCAATGTTGTAATGGAACGTTTCTGAGATGTTGATTCAACATTTGTGTGCTGTATGGGTTGGTTACTTCGTTTGCGTGTAACAAAATTTGCAGGCTGAAGACGATGAATTCAGAAAGGTCGCGCTATCTTCATCGCCGTAAATATGATTTTAGTATTAAATTCAATGACGGTAATCGCGCGCGCGAGTTTCCGTTCAAAACTTCACATCTCCATTTGCGACACGACAATTGTTTTCGCTGCGTGTCGTAACTCGGATGCAGGTATTGTATCAAACGCGTCTCTCCGTACGTTGCCTCTCAACGCCGCGGTAATTGTTTGTGATCGCGATTAGGAGAGAAATTTCGGCGGCGGGCTCGACCGTGACGATATATTCTGGCGGTTGTCGCCGTGATAAACCGAGGGGAGGGTTTGTTGCAGCCGCGGGCTAGCCAGGTACCCGCGTCGAAGTAAATCCATCCCTGACGTCGGCCACGGCGGAACTTTACCCGCCGGATGCCGAGCTGTGGGGTTCAACAATCGCGTGGCTCCTGGAATTCTGTGCGTGTGGGTGCGTTGAGGGACGTACATGGAACTGCGAAATCACGGGGTTCGACGCATAATGTACGACGTGAGCACAATTTGTGCCACGGTACCTGAAATTCGCCCAGGTCTCTGAATTATGAGGAGGGATAAGCTTTACTGCTCCGAGGTCAATTTCGTACACCACATTTTATCGATCGGTCGGCGCTCCCGGGGTCAGGACGATTAGAATACAGACCGAAGCTGCTTCGCGAGCAATTAAACGGATAAACTGCCGAGTGCTTACAACGCGAGCGTAAAAAAAAGGGGGGAAGTATCAATTACGCCTCGTAACATGAAAGGGTGGAGAATTAAGAGGCTTAGCCTCACATCGTGTGAGCTTTAAAGACATTAATCGCCAACCCTGGGCCGCGCGATCCCTTAATCTGCCGCCATTACGCTTTATCCGAGCATTAAAATCCAAATCGCGTAAAATTTGTGGGGATAAATCTTGGTCTATAACAATTACGCAAATAAATTGTTTCGCAATATCAGAAAAGGCAGTCACAAATTGCGAGCATGCAAACGTATTC